TATATATATATATATATATACACACACAAAAAATTTCTCTTCAGCAAGTTTGATACTGATTTTTCCATCAACAAGGAATGAAGTACCATGCTGAATTCAATAATGAGGTATTCAATGTATAAAAACTTGTAATCTTTCTAATCATAATCCAAAGTTTCCCATCAATTAAAAGCAATGAGGCACAACCGTATACACAAACTAAAACAAAATGGAGTTAACTCATATTTATTAAATTTGAAACTGTACACTGCAACACAACCAAATCTCAAACTCTACAAAAAGCAAGGATTCCATTCTAACAAACTTACAAATTTAAGAAATCCCGAATTCTGCCATCTTCGCACCAAAATCCCAAATGCCCTTATCCTCATTCATGGAAACCCTTCTCCTGCAAACGGGACAAGCTGTGATTTTCACCAGCCAGGCATCCACGCACTTCCTATGAAACAAGTGGCCGCATCCATCAAGCTTCCTGCACCATTGGCCTTGTTTGAACCCCTCCAAGCAAACAACACAATCAGGTTCGAAATAGGTATTGCTGGTTTGTTTTGAGAACCTGAATTGCGGGAGCTTGCGAAGGTGTTTTGAGGAGAACCCAGATGAGGGAGAGTCATGGCGGTGGCGACGGTGGTATTGATGGCGGAGAAGAAGGGGAAGGAGGAGCAAGACCGAAGCGAGAGGGAGCAGGAGGAAGAAGGCGGAGGTGAGGATGAGCATGATTATTGCTTTGAGGATTAACGATAGGAACTTCTGGTTCGGTTTTTGTGGCGGCGGCGGAGAACCACCATCATGGTTGAGGTGGCCGGTAGGAGGCGGCATGGAGAATCTGAGGTGATTAACTTTCGGGGATACCTGACGGTGACGTTCGAGCGATTCCGGTAAGGTGAAAATTAGAGATGAATGGATCGGCACTTGCCGGAACTATTTTCCGTTTTAGATATTTATATGATATTTGGATTGGACAGCTATTTTCCGTTCGCCCGTGTTTTTATGGGCCTTTGGGGCGGTGGGCTACAAAGATATCTGTTAGCAAATAGGGTTGCATGAAGTGGTAAGTGATTTGTTTCAGCTTAAGTAAGGTTTTGAATTCGAGATCTTATGTATACAGCAGTTTTTATTAGGAGACTCACCCACCATTTTCAGGTGTGCGACACGAGTCGAGTCTGAATTAGTTGGGGCGAAGCCTCGGATATCGGGCGGAAAACCAAAAAAACAAAGATATCTATTTTCTTTCCACAGGTGGTATTTAATTTAGAAAAAGTGTTATTAAGTTTAGATTACATCAAATTACATAATATTAAATATTTAAATGTTCATTTGATATAGTTGGAGCTTTTAATATGAGTTTTGTTGAAAAAAATATTGTAAAAATATTATTTTTGTAATAAAAAAATAAAAATAAAATATAAATAATTTGTTAATTTCATTAAAATTTAAATAAGAAGAGTTTGCACTAGCACCAATTTGGTGCTTTTGAAATTTGCAATAAGTTAAAGAAAAAGTTAGCTTGTTAGAAGTTGTGATTTTTCACTAGTTGTAATGTTTGGTGCAATTTATACTTTTGAGGTCAATAAGTACTTCTCACAAGCTACACCAAATAAGTCTTGATTATTATATGAGATTAGACTCCTAATATTAGAGGTTATTTCCCACCCAGTGTTCCTTGTTTAATAATTTAATAGTGTACTTGGGACTGTAAAATAGGGTTTCTATTTTATTTACTTTAGGTGAAATGTATAATTTGTTTTTCTTGTAAAATATATGATCCTAAAATTCTTTAAAGTTCACATCGTAATCCCAAACCTTTAAAACCGTTTTCAATAAGGTCCTTTCGTCCTTTGCTTCTAGCTAGTCTAGTGTTAAAAAGTTGCACATAAGCCCTAGAGTTTGCTTCTGTTATCTCTACGTTTCTCTCTTGTATGCTTTGTGGCATCAACTAACGCAATTTAATATCATATTACTATCAACATAACTTATTAGATCTCAAAAGGTGAGAAAGATATCTCTAACTAGGAAGAGTGAATTCAATTTATTTCTTTATTGTTTACCATATGAGACAATGGTTGTAACAAACTAATAGAGAAAAAGGACCTTAATGAAAATGAGTTGAAAATTGGTCGTCAAAAGAAAGAAGATGAAATAAAAGGTTTAGGAGAATTGAAAGGTATAGGCTCATTTTTTCAATGCCTTGAAAAGGTTTAAAACCAATTTTTGTGTATATCAATTATTTTTGCAATATGAGTTTATTGTAAAAGTCTAACATGTTACAATTTAAATTTTATTAAATTGTAAAATACTAATTATTTAATGAAACGGCTAGCACTCATTATCAAGAGGCCCTCATCATTTAATGAATGATATTTTATTGTTCGATACAATTTAGATTACAAAATATTTTTATGTTATTAACATATTATTTTTCTTTAAGAGATAACTAATTTGTATAATGAAGGAGTGGAAGCTATAACAGGTTGCATAATTTAAAGTGTTAGAAGAAGTGTGTTTAAACTTATAACTCAATTGTTAATATGAATAGTTGAAAAACCTTCCCTCTAAGCTAGGAACATCACAAGATTTTCCATAAAGAAAAAAAAAATAGTTATATCCGTTTCTTGCCCCCTTATGTACTTAGCTAATTTACATAACAAAACTCTCTTGAATCTCAATCTCTCACTTACACTTCCTCTATGAAGTGAATTGAAAGAGTAACGTAGAAAAACCTAGCTATTTGAGAAGGCTGCACGTTGCAGGATCTATGCTTCTCTTCTAGGAAACAGGTGCGTGTGGTTCACCTATAAAAGGGCACTCATCTGCTGCTCTTGACTCGCCAAATTCAACATTATGAGAATTGAATTTAGATTTGTATTGAAATTGTTTTTAAATTTCAAGAAGTATTAAAATTATCTCTAAATTTTAATTTTTAGTATTAAAATAGTCCTTCAATAAAAGTGCATGCCACATAGCTTATTATCTTGCCACAAAATTAATTTTTTTAAAATATTAATGACATGTAAAATCAAACACTTTATTTTGTTATCATGAGATATTTTTATATATACATCAAATTGACACTCAATTAAAGTTAAAAAATCAAATTAGTATTTGTAATTAAAGTTCAATAATTAAATTATTACTTATCTTTAGAGTTTGATAATTAAGATGATACTAAAAATTAAAGTTAAAAAACTATTTTAATACCAAAAATTAAAATTTAAAGACAATTTAATGTTTTTTAAAATTTAAAAATAATTTTAGTATAAATTTAAAGGTTAAAAAACCAAATTGGTATTTTAACCAATGCAATTCTTGTCGGAAATTTTTCTTGCCTTCTTTGGCCATTTTGCAACTACTTATTTAGTTCTTAATTTCTTTTTCTTTTTTTTTTGTTAGAGGTTTACGTTTTTTGATATTAAATTTGAATATTTAATTTTGACTCAAATAAAAAATTTTAAATTAATAACTAATAATTCGACTAAGTCTTTATTGGTATAGTTCTCAATTTCTTTGTTTCCGTTTTTTTTCGTTTCCCCTGTTTTTAGGAAACATATCTTATTGAAGACATGAAGAAATTAACGTAAAAAAGAACACCCAAGCAATTACAATTTAGTGAAAACGAAACTCTAAATAACAAAATTCTAGCAAGAAGTAAACCTCCGTTGACCCAAAAAAAGAAGAAGTAAACCTCCAAACACAAAAAATAAAAATAAAAATAAAAAATCAATCATATGAATCAATCAAGTAGCTGTCATAAATAATAAGGGAAAAATCATAAGAATCATGATACAATCAATGTAGAAACGATTATGAAAGGGAAAGAAAAGGATATAATGGCATTAGTTAATCAAAATAATCTTAATTTTGTCAACGAATTAACTAATTCAGTGATTATTTTCTTTCATTAGAAGTAAAAAATCTTAAATTCAAATCACATAATATGCGAATAAGGTGAAATAAGAGACGAGAGATAGTTATCTCTCACTGTGTAACCAAGATAAACAAAAAATAAAACCTTAATTTTAGGTGGGATTGTAATTGTATATAACTGTTTTTGTTCTTGTTTTAAAATTTTGTTTTGCTAGTTTTCTTATAAGAACATTTGTTTTGCTAATTAATCATAAACAAATCCAGGATTTGAATAAGTCTAACCAAAGAAAGTCTCCTAGGGAACAGAGGCGGTGATCCATCTTCAAAATATCAGTTCTGCCTTAGATTATCCAGTAAGGCAATAACAATTAATTTTATTTGAAATTTACTTTTTTTTATCAGAATGTCTTCAATAGTTTGGGGGGCCGTTATCATTTAAAAAACTGAATTTTTGGAAAAATAAATTTAAAAACTAAAAGTGACCCAAACAAAGGTATAAAGACCAAAATAAAACTAACAATTTTTCTAA